TTTTTAGACAGGGTTTCTCTGTGTAGCTTTGCGCCTTTCCTGGGACTCACTTGGTAGCCTAGGCTGGCCTCGAACTCACAGAGATCCGCCTGGCTCTGTCTCCCGAGTGCTGGGATTAAAGGCGTGCGCCACCACCGCCCGGCTAGAATTTATTTCTATAGGTATGTAATATATATTAAAGAAAGCTCTACTTTGAAATCTCTCCTGAAGAAAATTGAAAAATTTATCTGCAGACTTCCTAGTCTTACAGGAGAGTCTTGTAGTGAGGTAGAGTTGTCACTAGATGGCGTACAAAACTCATGGGGGAACATGGCCCAACCCCTGCATCCCCACCCAGCTCTGTTTTTCTTCAGGACCTATAAATATCTGTTTCTCTGCTAATAACTCTTGACTTTAAATTTGAAATGGTTTATTCTGTAAGTGTCTCTTAAATATTAAACACAGGTATAAATAAAATGTCAAAGCAGTTGAAAACAAAGCAATCTAAAATTGGGGTATTCAGATATTTAGTAATGTAAGTGGGGGCTGAGTAATGAAAAATGACTAGCAGTACATTCACTGGACTCTGTGCAACAAAGAAAAGCAACCCGAGGACAGTTGACTGTGTATCTTAGTCAATGCTAGGACATAGAGAAACAACACTCACACACAGACACAAATTGGTAAAACAGATCACAGGACAAAACAGTTCATCAGCACCATGGTTACTGAAAGCTATTCAGAGGTCAGAGGGAAACTGTCCAAACTTTAAGGAGCAAAGAAATTATTTGGTAGTTATTTGTTTATTTACTTATTTATTTATTTGTTGCATATGTGTGCATGCCTGTGCCTGTGTGAACACATGTGTGCAGGTGAATGTGTACATGTGGAGGCTAGAGACATCAGGTGTCTTCTTCAATTGTTTCTCTACTTCATTGCTTACGTATTTTTAGCTAGGAGCTCACTGACTTGGCTACTGGGAATCCAAAAAGATGCTAGGGATCTTCCTGTCTCTACTTCCCAGTGCTTGAAGTCACACTCAAATTCTTATGGGTGTGTGAGGATTGAAATCAGGTCCTCGTGTTTGGATCACAAGCACTTTGACAATGGAGCCATGTGCTAACACCAGATGCTTTGCCTCAAAGATTGTTTTACCAATGAACCAAGATTATGCAATAAGTTTTCATACTATTCCAAGAATAGGAATAGAAAATGGGGAAAAAACAAGACAGTGTGGTTCAGTAATTTTAGGTATTTGGGAGGCTGAGGTCTGAAGATTATGAGTTCAAGGCAATCCTGAGCTACTTAGAGAGTCCCTTTTAAAAGTAAGAATGAAAGAGAGAACTTAGGACATCACTCAGTGGGAGACAGAGTACTTGCTTAGTATGTTCAAGGAGGTCCTGGAGGAAAATTCCAATTATCTCCCCCATGAATAAAACAAGAAAGTATAAAAAGGAAGAACAAAGGGAATGAATGTGGAGGGAATAGGAGTCAATAGAGATGATGGATATAGTGTGGATGTAAACATTCTGGGTACCTGTGAGTAAGCGCTAAAACAATCATATAAGTAGGATAATGTCAAACATATTACGAACTAATTGGAATATATGAAAATGAAATATTCATAGGCCTGTTAATAAATGCAATATTAACATGTTTGTGGTTTGCGATATTTAGGTCTACAGCCAAAGGGAGTTAGGACTGAAGATAAATTATTGAGAAAACGAGAATGTTGGCTCAAGAAATCAGATGAATTTACTGAAAGAAAGCAAAATCACTACAAGAACCGCACCCTTAAGAAAACCTTTCATTTACATATTATTGGGAAGAAATTCTAGAAAAATGTTGCCACAGATGACAAGTTAAACTCAATGTAGCTCAGTCTTAGGAGGTAGGTATATTAGACAACTACAATGAATAGAATTTAAAGAACAGGAAACAGAACCAGTGTTATGGTTGAACAACTACCACCGTGATGAGAATAACGAGAGTCAAAGCTAAATTCTACAAACCTGAAGGAGCTGGGGTGATGAGCGAGCAGGAGCAAAGAGCGAAGTCTGGTAGTCTATGAATGTTAGTTGATAAAGAGATGAACAAAACCACAGCATTTGAGGGATAGCTGAGTTGTAGAGCTCAGAGCCACTGTGGTTGTGTGCACAAGACCTGCACAAAAGCTAGAAAGTTAAAAATTCCAGCTTGGATGGGAGAAGAGCCATCAAGGTCTCAAGCCTAACTGGAGAGTTAATAGTCCTTGAGGGTTTCCAAGAGAACAATAGTCAATAATTCTTTGAAAAGTAGTCACAAGTGGGTTGCCCTTTCTCAGTGGGTGACCATATCCTCAGACACACGTGGGCAGCAATGATTAGACTCAGTGGGTCAATAGTAATACTTCTTTCAAATGTTGAAGCTGAGAGAGAAATGTGTTTAGCATTCAAAGGTAAACTGGAAAGGAAGAAGGGGGTGAAAACAAGACATATTATATACATACAGAAAATATTCAAACAGGAAATAAAATATTATTAAAATAAATAAGGAAAGCTAATCACACTATTTTGTGGGACCCAGGAGCTGGCACACAGGGCCTTTCACGTATCTGGCTTCTTCAGAACATTTCCAGAGACATCGAAAGCCGAATACAGAGAAACAGAGCTTCTTGCTGCTTCCTGTATTTGATTTCTAGCTTTTTATTCACAGCATAAGACATTTGTAAATTTGTCTCTCCTGCTAGCAATGACAGTTGTCTGTCAAAGACGACAGGATCCTTAATTATCATCACAGCAGCAAAACTTAAATTCTGTGCTTCATATCCACAGAATAACACAGACAACACAGGGAAGGAAAAGACATTATGGATGTGTAATATCTACATAAATACCAATTGGTGACAGAAAAGTAAAATGAAGAAACAAAAGAAAGCCACTGACAAAAAATCAGTCCTGAAAACATACATATAAGGTACAAGTAACATTATACCGATCCAACAGTTTATATTTAGGAATGCACACACACACACACACACACACACACACACACACACACACACACACACACGCATGCG